GGGTCCCCAGAGCCCCTCTGCCACCCCCCATCCGCACCCCAGTGCCGGACACCCCCCCCCGTGACATCGCTGGGACCCCCGGGCGGCGCCTGCCCCCCTCCCAGCAGAGAAGGGGGTCCGAGGGGGGTTTCGGGGGGCTGTTGGGAATTTTGGGAGGGGGGGAGCAGCGGGATTCCGCGAGCACCGTCCCAGCCTTTCCCCCCAACCCCTCCTGCAGGTGGCTGGATGGGAAGCGCAAAAGAAAGAGCAGCCAATGTTTGGTGAAGAGCAGCATGTCAGGTACGGGGACCCGCGGCACCCCCGGAGCCCCCCCCCCCGGGCACCCCATGGCCCTGCTGGGCACCCCCGGRTCACCCGAGCACCCCACGGGATCGCCCCGTGTCCCTGGTGGACACCTCGGGGACCCCAAACCCTTACTAGGGACCCTTGGACACCCCACGTCCCTGGCGGACACCTTGGGGTCCCCAAATATTTTCCAGGCACCCCAGAGTGTGACGGACACCCCATGTCCCTGGYAGGCACCCTGGGGACCCCAAGTCCTTGCCAGTGTCACCCCAAAGTCCACGGACACCCCTTGTCCCCCACGGGCACCCCAGGGCTCACATGTCCGTGCAGGCACCCCCCTCTCCCACGGACACCCCACATCTCGACTGGGTCCCCCGGAGTCCCACAGACACCCCTTGTCCCCCGTGGGCACCCCGAGGTCCCCACATCTCCCAGGCACTCCAGAATCCCCTGCACACCCCATTCCCACGCCCCGCACCCCAAATCCCCGCAGGGTCTCCCCGGGGTGCCAATCCCCCGCGTCCCCCCCGTGTGTAGGGGTGGTGCCAGCGGGGCGGCAGCGCCCTGGGGTGGGCGATAAGGGGGGCCCCGCGGGCGCTGCCCCCCGCCCTGCCCCATTCCCCGGCGGGGAGCGGCCGGCGCCGGCGGGACCGGCCGGGGGGGCCGGGGGGAACCGAGCGTCCGGCTCCCGCCCATCCCCTGCACCCGCCCCGCTCCGGGAGAGGGGAGCACCCGGGGACCCCCACCTCGAGCACCTGCAGGGCACCGATCCCCCACGCCTGGGTTTGGGGGATCCCGGGTGGGTGCGGTGGTCCTGGGGTACCGGGGACACCCCCCGAATTATGGGTGCTGCGTGTAGGGGGGACTCAAGCAGCCAGACCCCTCCCCACCCCTCGGGGACCCCAATTTCCAGCCCCCCCAAAGCACGAGGGTGGGCTCCCAGGGAGACACGAGGAATTTGGGGTGCTGCAGGCCGCCCCGTGCCCCATGGATGATCCGTGCCTCAGTTTCCCTGAGGCTGGGGGGACTCTGGCGAGGGGCTGGTCCCCTCTCCCGGACAATGGCGGGGACAGTGGGTCTTTGTGTGCCGGGGGGACGGGGACCCCCCCGCTGCCGGTGCCCGGCCGGGTAATGGGATAATGGGGGCTTTATTGGTGCGGGGGGCTCGGGCACCCCCCACACACCCCCGGCCTTAACCCTTCCCGTGCCGGCGATGGGGCAGGGGCAGGGCACACAGTGCTGGGTGTGGGCAGAGGGGAAACTGAGGCACGGGGAGGGGATGGCTCAGGGGTGTGCAGGAATCCCTGACAGAGTTTTGGGGGGTGGGGGGGTCTCTGATGTGGGAGGGTCCCTGGTACAGGGTGCTCCAGGGGTCCCTGACTTGGGGTTTCCTGGGGGTCTCTGAGATGGGAATTCCTGTCTTGGGATCCTCTGAGGGTCCCTGAGATGGGAATTCCTGTCAGGGGGTGCTCTTGGGGTCCTTAAGATGGGAATTTCTGTCCCGGGGTGCTCTGGGGGTCTCTGAGGTGGGAATTTCCATTATGGGGTGCCCTGGGGGTCCCTGCCCTGCGGTTCCCTGGGGGTCCCTAACCCGGGGTGCCCTGGGGGTCCCTGCCCTGGGGTGCTCTGAGGGTCCCCGAGATGTGAATTTCCATCACGGGGTGCTCTGGGGGTCCCAGAGATGGGAATTCCTGTCCTGGGGTGCCCTGGAGGTCCCTGCCCCGTGGTGCCCTGGGGGTCCCTGACCCGGGGGTCCCCGCAGGGTACATCCCTAGTTACCTGGACAAAGATGAACAGTGCGTGGTGTGCGGGGACAAGGCCACCGGCTACCACTACCGCTGCATCACCTGCGAGGGCTGCAAGGTGAGCTGGGGCTGGGGGCTTTGGGGGGGCTCAGGGGGGCTCAGCAGGGCTCAACTGCGTCCCCCCACCCCGGCTGTCCTCAGGGATTTTTCCGTCGGACCATCCAGAAGAACCTGCACCCCACCTACTCCTGCAAGTACGATGGGTGCTGTGTCATCGACAAGATCACCCGCAACCAGTGCCAGCTCTGYCGCTTCAAGAAGTGCATCTCCGTGGGCATGGCCATGGACCGTGAGTTGGGGGGCACGGAGGGGGGCTCGGATGGGGGGCAGGTTGGGCTCCGGGCGCTGTGGGGCAGATTGGGGTACCCAGAGCAGCTGTAGGGTCAGGTACTGTGATGCAGCTGTAGGGTGGGGTGCATTAATAGGGCTCCTCGCTGACTGGAGGGGGGTCCCAGACCACAATGGTGGGGTTTTGGGGGATGGGTTGGGGTCCTGGTTCTGTGGAGTGCCCAGAGCAGCCACAGGAGGAGGCTGGGGGTCACAGTGGGGTGCAGTGCTGCAGGTATGGGGTGCAGGATGGGGTGGTCCCAGCTGATGTGGGGGGTCTCATGGCTGATGTGGGGGGTCCCAGCTGATGTGGGGGGTCTCAGCTGACGTCGGGGGTCCCGGCAGTGGTGCTGGATGACTCCAAGCGGGTAGCCAAGCGGAAGCTGATCGAGGAGAACCGGGAGCGGCGGCGGAAGGAGGAGATGATCAAGTCCCTGCAGCATCGCCCCAACCCCAGCGCCGAGGAATGGGAGCTGATCCACGTCGTGACGGAAGCCCACCGCAGCACCAACGCCCAGGGCAGCCACTGGAAGCAGAAGCGGAAATTCCTGGTGAGGGGATGCACCCGAGGGTSTCTGTCACCATCCTGGACCCCCACCCTGTCCCCCAGCCCCAGCTGGGATCCGCTGAGCGCTCGCACACTCGGCGCACACGTGGTGGCAGTGCCAGCGTTTGGGATGTCACCCGTGTCCTTGGGCAGTCGAGGGGGTGGGGACATTGCTTGGTGTCCTTGAGCTGGTCACCCCCAAAGGGTTCAGGGGTGAGCAGTGACCGAAGGGGACAGCTGTGCCCGCGGGTGGCCCCAGCGCTGGCCCTGCTGGCCCTGTCGCTGTCCCTGTCGCTGTCACGCAGCTCCCTCTCCTGGCTGCTGCACCGGCCCTGCCACCAGCGTTCCCTGGTGACATGGGGACCCAAAGGGGATGGCAGGGTCACATCACACCCCCGGGGGTGCCCAGAGAGGGCGACTGGGTCACACCGCACCCTCAACACCACTGCCCACCATGGGGGTCCCGGAGGGGGGCACGGTCACTCYGCACCCCCAGTGCCACCATGGGGGTCCTGAGGGGACACATGGTGACATCGCACCCCCTCAACGCCACCGTGTCCCCACAGCCTGAGGACATCGGCCAGTCCCCCATGGCCTCCATGCCCGACGGGGACAAAGTCGACCTGGAGGCGTTCAGCGAGTTTACAAAAATCATCACCCCGGCCATCACCCGCGTGGTCGACTTTGCCAAAAAACTGCCCATGTTTTCAGAGGTAACGGCCGGCCGCCGAGTTTGGGGAGGGTCCAGGGTGGTCTGCCCAGGCTCTGAATCACACCAAACCCCCCCAAAAAACTGCCCCCCCAGCTGCCTTGCGAGGACCAGATCATCCTGCTGAAGGGGTGCTGCATGGAGATCATGTCGCTGCGGGCGGCCGTGCGCTACGACCCCGAGAGCGAGACGCTGACGCTGAGCGGGGAGATGGCGGTGAAACGCGAGCAGCTCAAGAACGGCGGCCTCGGCGTCGTCTCCGATGCCATCTTCGACCTGGGCAAGTCCCTCTCTGCCTTCAACCTGGATGACACCGAGGTGGCCCTGCTCCAGGCCGTGCTGCTCATGTCCTCAGGTGTGTGCGTGCACGGGCGGTGGGGGAATGGGGTGGGTGCTCCATGCCCGGGGAATCGGGGTTGGGTGTTGGATGGGGTACCGTGATGCCAGGAGACCCCAGAATTTGGGGATGCATTGGGTGGGCACTCTGATGCCTAAAGTCCTCACTTGTCCTGGGGGGTGTTGGGTGGGCACCTACCCTGATGCCCAGAGATCCCAGAATTTTGGGATGCATTGGATGGGCACCGCAATGCCCAGTGCCCCCAGAATTCAGAGATGCATTGGCACCCACCCTGATGCCCAGAGTACTCACTGACCTAGGGGGTGTTGGGTGGGCACCTCAATGCCCAGAGATCCCAGAATTTGGGGATGCATTGGGTGGACACCGCAGTGCCCAGAGCCCCCAGAATTTGGGTATGCATTGGGTAGGTACCCACCCTGATGCCCAGAGTACTCACTGACTTGGGGGGTGTTGGGTGGGCACCTACCCTGATGCCCAGAGATCCCAGAATTTGGGGATGCATTGGGTGGGCACCACAATGCCCAGAGCCCCCAGAATTTTGGATGCATTGGGTGGGCACCCACCCTGATGCCCAGAGTACTCACTGACCTCGGGGGTGTTGGGTGGGCACCCCAATGCCCAGAGCTCCCAGAATTTGGGGATGCATTTGGTGGGCACTCTGATGCCCAGAGATCCCAGAATTTGGGATGCATTGGGTGGGCACCCACCCCCATGCCCAGACTCCTCACTTGTCCTGGGGGGTGTTGGGTGGGCACCCCAATGCCCAGAGCCCCCCCACATCTTCAGGATGTGCTGGGTGGGAAACTGTTGCCCCCCACCCTTGGATTTTGGGGGGGATTTGGGGTGGTTACCCCAATGCCCAGAGCTTCAGGCAGCTGTGCCAGGCTGGGAGGGGTGTCAGGGTGAGCACCCCAATCCTCAACATCCCATGAGGTGGGCACCCCTGTCCCTGGT